CCCCGAATGGCCCGGCTGGCCGCGCGCCGCCCCCCGCCTCCCGGCCCTTCCTGTCTGGTGACCCAACCACTTGTGATACGCGGCAGTGGGGCAACCACCCAACGGCCCGATGCTATCAGCCGAGGCTTCCTCCGCGGCGCGTCCGAACCCCCGCCCGCTCCCCGCGCCCGCCGGCTGCCCGGGAGGGCGGCGCTGGCCACCTTAATTTAGCTCCCGGCCGCCCGGCCCGGGAGGCTGCTGTTTGTCCACGGAGGGCTGGACACTCTCGCCCTTCCTCCTCCGCCTCCTCCTCGCCCGAGGATCTTAGTCACCGGAGGCCGGGGGAGGGGGCAGGCCGTCCGGGTGGACCGAGCCGGGATTCCCGGAGGCCACAGGGCAGGACTACTGTGGGTCAGGAATATGTGCCTTGGGGTCAGCTTTCTGTGCGCTCCTCCTTTCTTCCCTCGGGTCCACCCCTGCGCAGAAAGCTGCCCCGGGGAAGGCGGGGCTCCCAACCCCTTGTCCCCCAGTGTCTCCCGTGGTGGAGAACCTGTGGCTCTTCTGCTACTTGTTTTTTTCTTTTTTTCTTTTGCCTTTTTGAGACAGTCTCGCTTGCAGTCCAGGCTGGCCTTGAGCTCACTTTGTAGCCCAGGCTGGTTTTGAACTCACAATGAGCCTCCTGCCGCAGCCTCCTGAGTGCTGGATTACAGGCTTGCGCTGCCCTGCTTGTTTTTTGTTTTTTGGGTTTTTTTTTTCCGGTTCCGAGAATCGAACTCACGACCTCGCGCTTGCCAGGCAGGCGCTGTGCCTCTGAGCTAAATCCCCAGCCACTGTTTTTGTTTTAAAACAAAAGATGTTAATGTCTGAGTAGTTCTTCTAAAGTAAAACCTCAGTGTTCTGCTGTGGTTCCACTTTATTTATCGGCCTTTTGAGGTAAATAAGTGGGTTTTGCACTGCAGTTTAGGCCCTTGTCTGTGAAAGGCTCGCCATCACTGACCCTAGAACCACGCCTGGCCTTCACTCAGGGCAAGGATGGGACAAGGGCCCCCTCACGGCTTTGAAAAGTTTCCCGGAGTGGGAATCTGCCCTGGCCGGGGTCGGGTCTGTGACCTCGGTGTGCTGGCCGGCCAATGAGGACGGCTGCTGGGCTGGCTCGGGCCTAACCTTCCCCTGCCTTGCCTTTAGGCCTGCGCCGTGGGGCTGATCGCCGTGGGGATAGTGGTCAAGCCGATCCTGAGCGGGACCATGAGCCACGGGGCTGCTACTCCCGGCAGCCTGTTGCCCGTGATCATCATCGCAGTGGGTGCCTTCCTCTTCCTGGTGGCCTTCCTAGGCTGCTGCGGAGCCTGCAAGGAGAACTACTGTCTCATGATCACCGTGAGTGCTGGGGCTGCCAGAGGGCACTGCTGTACCAGGGCGGCGAGGCGGGTGGGTGAGGCCCAGCCCCGGGAGCGCGCCGGGCACTTAGGCTAGGGCGGACCTGACTCCTTGCCTTTGCTCCTGCAGTTTGCCATTTTCCTGTCTCTCATCATGCTCGTGGAGGTGGCCATCGCCATCGCCGGCTACGTTCTTAGAGACAAGGTAGGCGGGGAGTCGGTCGGGAGCGCCCTGCCTCTGGCTGCTCAGGGACCCAGGTACCTGACTTTGCCCTCAACACTGTTCTTTCTGTTCTCAGGTGAGAGCGGAGTTCAGTAAGGACTTCCAGCAGCAGATGCGCAATTACCCCAAAAACAACGATACGGCTGCGTTCCTGGACCAGCTGCAGACGAAAGTGAGCAGCAGCATGGGGAGCAGGGGTGCGGCGGGGAAAGAGCCTCACCTCCACCTTGTGAGTGGGGTGTCACTCGGCGACTTTCCCTCCTGTCTCTCCACTCCCCCAGTTTGAGTGCTGCGGGGCCGCTAACTACTCAGACTGGGAGAGCATCCCCGGCATGGGCAAGGACCGGGTCCCCGACTCCTGCTGTGCCAACGTCACCGTGGGCTGTGGCATGGACTTCAAGCCGCAGTCCCTCCACACCAAGGTAGGAAGACAGGCAGTGCGGGGCTCGGGAAACCCGGGCGTGTTGCGGAGGCGAGACAGACCTGGGTGGCAGCGGACGGTCAGGGCTGAGGTGGGGTCTGGGGTGCAGGGGTGGCCGGGAAGGCGGTGGGTTTCTCAGGCTGCTTGTGGTGTGTTTTCCGCCTCCCTCCAGGGCTGCGTGGAGAAGATTGGGAGCTGGCTGAGAAAAAACGTGTTGCTGGTGGCTGCAGCAGCCCTGGGCATTGCTTTTGTGGAGGTGAGAGGGGCCCTGGGCAAGGCCCGGGGTGTCTGGGCAGGAGGGGCCCGAGCGAGGAGGGTGATGAACGGTGGTGCTGGCCGGGGCAGCCCTGGGTGTGTGCGGGCTTCCAGGGAGCCTGCCCTCCATTCCTTCGCTCTCCGCCCGCCTTTCCTTCCAGGTCCTGGGCATCGTCTTTGCCTGCTGTCTTGTGAAGAGCATCCGCAGTGGCTATGAAGTGATGTAGGGGTCTGGCCTCCCAGCCCCCTCATCTAGGGGAGTAGAGTAGTATCCCGGGTTTTTTCAATTAAACGGATTATTTTTTCAGACCGAAAAGAGTGATGGCCTCCCTTGTCTCTGCAGCTCTTAGACCCCTCTGCTTCCTGTGTCCCTGTCCCCTGGCACTCTGCGGTGTGTGCCCCTGGGGAAGGCAGGCCTGTTTGGGGACGTGTGGGGAAAGGAGGATTTTGCAGAAGGTGTTGGCTGGGCTGGCGGTGGGAGAGGGGGGATCCAGAGGAGGCTGTGGTCCCCTCCCCTCTGCCATCTGCATCAGTCAGAGGGCTTTCCTGTAATGCTCCTGCCTGGGGAGTCTGGCCCACAAAGACATGCCCTTCACCCTCCCTCCTGCGCCACTCTTGTAAAGAGGTGGTAAGGCCACTGGAGGCTCGAATGGCTAGTGTTTCTCATGCTTTTTTTTTTTTTTTCTTGTGACGGTCTCACAGTAGCTTAGACTGATCTTGAATTTATGGCAATCCTCCTGCCTCAGCTTCCTGCGGGCTGGGGTTACGGGAGTGCACCACCATGCCTGGCTTCTCATTTTTAAGTAGTAGGAGAATCTGAGTATTGCTTTTTCTTCTACGAGCCCCATCTGGTGCTGACTCATCATCTCCCCTCCCCACCGCAAAAAATAAGGCTATTTCCACTACAAGTAGAATTGTAACTACCTCTCGCAGAAAATAAGGGGAAAGTGCCCTCTTGTGGCCACTCCTGCGAGTGCAGTTGAAGACCGTGCATAAACGCAAGCCCCCCAGTGGTTACTAGCTGTCCTGCAGGTACTCAACGGGCTGGAGTCCTTGGCCGGTTAAATAACTTGGGGTAGTTAGCACTTAGGTGGGGTCAGTCTCCAAGTGAGCACCCTCATTTTCGTCCACTTTTGTTTTAAAATACATTTATTTTGAACGCCTATTTTGTGCCATGTAGCAGGCAGAGCAGGGTGGGGACAGGAATAAAAATCCTAACCCTTGGGAAAACGGTCTTGCCGGGAAGCTGGGCTCAGCACACGGACTGCGCAGGCTTAGGGAGGAGCCAGGTGAGCGCGGTGTCCACGAGGCCGGCCGGCAGGTAGGAGGCGGGCAGCCAGAGCAGCTTGGCGTCCCAGCCCGGGCTGTAGCGGGTGCGGGGGTGGCGAGCGGTCAGCGCGTGCTCCACGCATCGGCTCACCTTGGTTAGGTCCGGGTCGCAGATCGCGTTCATGATGCGCCGCTGCACTCCGAGGTCTGCAGCCCCAGGGTGGTGCAGTGAGGGTCCCCGCCCCGGCCCAGCCCGTCCTGGGCCCCACTGTTGGCCGCAGATGACCGGGCTCCTCAGTTCCCGCCCCTGTTGGGGGACTTGGCAGGCTCCTCGGCCGCGGCGCTCTCTCTGGTGCTCCCTCCGCCCCTGCCCTCTGCCCGGGAGGCTGACGTGGACCGGCCTCTGGCTCATGTCCCTCGCGCCCCGGGCTGGCCCGGCTACTCACAGGCGGAGAGGAAGGCGTCCCCGTAGCGGGCCCGCGTGGCTGGAGGCAGCCGGGCCCAGCAGGCCTGCAGGGCGCTCTCCAGACTCCGCAGGCTGGTCACCGGGGTACGGAAGAAGCCCGGCTCCACGATGGAGACGCGAACCCCGAAAGGAGCCACGTCCCGCCTGGAGTGTGGGCAAAGGGGTTGCTGCGTTCTCGCCCCGTGCCAGTAAGGAGTGGCCTCTCAGGGACGTGAACGGGGAATCAGGGACAGGGCATGCGGGAGCCCTGACAGGGACACTGCCCTAGCCCTGGCACTAGGGCCAAGTGGGCGAGGGGGGAAATACACAGTGCTTTCTCTGCTGGCACTGGGACCAAATCCAGCCCCTGCAGGCTTGGCAGGTGCTCTCCCACTGAGCTGCACATCCCCACCCAGAGGGAGATCATTTTTCTTTTTTTGATGGGGTCTCGTTATATACCCCAGGTTGGCCTTGAACTCTTCATCCTCATGCTTTAGCCTTGGATTGTAGGTGTGCCCTTCATGTCTGGCTCCTGTATATTCTGTGATTTAGCCAAGCAAGGGCCAAACTTTTTTTTTTTTAAAAGAGGGCCTGACAGCATGCCAAGAAATATTAGGTTCTTTTTTTTTTTTTTTTGTTTTCTTCTGGTACTGGGAAGCGAACTCACGACCTTGTGCTTGCCAAGTAGGCTCTGTGCCGCTGAGCTAAATCCCCAGCCCCTAGGTTCTTTTTGAGACAAAATCTTGCTATGTAGTTCAGGCAACCTTTGAACTCACTAGGTAGCCCAAGTGGGCCTTGAACTCTCTGAGATCTGCCTGCCTCAGCCTCCCAAGTGCTGGGACTACAGGCTTGTGCCACCACACCTGGCTAGGTTCTTATACAACCATTTACAATGTAACTATTTAAAAATGTAAAAATGGGGGGGGGGCAGCTGTGGTTTCATATGCCCATAATCCCAGCACTCCAGAGATAGAGGCAGGAGGATTGCTACAAGTTCAAGACAAGCCTGGATTACCTAGATAGGCCTTATCTCAAAAAAAAAAAAAAAAAATCATTATTAGCTTGAAGGTAGCTGGTAGGATCTGGCCTCAAAAATGCAGTTTTCCAGTTCTTGATTTAGAATAGGCCCATTTCCCAGATCCCCAAACAGGACTGAGTCCTGAGTGCTAGGCAGGAAGGGTCTAGAGTGGCCTTAGCTGGAGTGGGGGGGCTCTTACAGGGGTGGCAGGGACACTTGCTACTGGTCTGGCTCAGATATGGAGATCCGGGTGTGAACTACGTGCAGCATGGTGCCCCTTGGGAAGCTAGAGGCAGGGTAGGACAAGGAGATGGTGAGGTTATCGGCTAAGTGAGGGTGTGGAGGACATTGTGGAAGCCTGGGCTTAGGTTGGACGGCCTGAGCTGCACCAAATTCAGGTCCTGCCGTTCCCCTCTTGTCCTATCAAGACTCCTGTTTGCTGTCATGCAGTTCCGAACATGATTGCTAAAAGACAAGGGTGGGAAAATAGCGGGCTCCACAGCACTTGGACCCGGGCTAAGTCCCAGCGCTGCCGCTAACCAGGGGTACGTTGGCTGTTGGGAAGATTAAGTGAGAAAATGCTTCAGAAAGCTACTTGCCCACTAATATTATGATGGACTTTTGTTGTTTGTGTTCTGATTTTTTGAGATAGTGTCTTGCTTTGTAGTTCAGGCTGGCCTTGAACTCATGATCCTCTTGCCTCAGCCTCCCAAAATGCTGGGATGTTGGGATTATAGGTATGTGCCATCATGCCTAGCTCTGTTTTTTCTTTCTTTCTTTCTTTCTTTTTTTTTTTTTTTTTTTTTTTTTTTTTTTTTTTTTTTTTTGTCTTTTTGAGACCAAGTCTTGCTATGCAGTTCAGGCTGGCCTTGAGCTCACTTTGTAGCCCAGGCTGGTCTCAAACCCGCAACGATCCTCCTGCCTCAGCCTCTGGCATGCTGAGATTACAGGTGTGCACCACCATGCCCAGCCATGGCTTTATTTTTGTTTGGTTGGGTTTTTTTTTTTTGCACTAAGCTACACCTCTAACAGCTTTCGTCTTAAAACTTTTTTTTTTTTTAAATTTTAAAACAGGGTCTTGCTAAATGCTCAGGCTCAACTGGAACTTGTGACCCTTCTGGCTTATCCTTCCAGAGAGCGGGAATTACAGGTGTGCATTACCAGGCCCACCTCTCAGTATAAATATTTTTTCCCTTATTAATAATGATAGCAGGCTTTTTTGAGCATTTACTATGTGCTAACCACTGTTGGGTTCTTACACATACCTCATTTCACTGCCAGTACTTACCAGGCAGGCCTTCTTATTCTGATTTAACAGATGAAGAAAACAAGAGAGAAATAAACTGCTTAAGGTCACAAAACTCTTAAGAGAGAAAGCTGGAGCCAGGTGTGGTGTTGTATGCCTATAATTCCAGGAGGCTGAGGCAGGAGAATTGCCACAGTTCAAGATCAGCCTAAACTACATAGTAAGATGCTGTGTCAATAGATGACAAAAATCCCCCAAATCAAAAAACTATCTTCTCGTAAATTTCCCTCTACCCTGTCGTAATCATCTTTGCTGATCTGCCCTGGGCAGGTGCACTTTGATTTGTTGAGCGGGCTTCCACTTGGGCTTGGGGCCCGGAGCCGCATGACCCCTCACCTTAGACTATCAGAGAAAGCCTCCAGGCCGAACTTGGAGACACAGTAACCTCCGCCACTGGCTGCGAGGCGACCCAGGACGCTGGTGATGTTGACCACTCGGCCCTGGGCCTGCTGCAGCAGGGGCAGCAGGGCAAGGGTGACCCGGATGGGACCCAGGGTGTTCACATTCAGCACCTGATGGAAGTCTTCCTGCGTCAGCCAGGGCGTGGGCCCGATGACGCCCGCCACGCCGGCATTATTCACCAGACCAAAAAGCCCTGTGGGGAGGTGAGACAGGTGGGGGGCAGCGGCCGCCCCATCTTCTCCCTCCTGCTGCTCCCCACTGTGCTCCAGCTTCCCACAGCCTCTGCAGCAGCTGCCGGGCTCCCGTGGGGGTCAGGAGCACCTCACACCACGTCCTGGTGGCTCTGCCACTTACCTGCTCCCTGGACGTGCGTCTCCACCCACCGGGCCGCCTGCTGGACGCTCTGGGGATCAGTGACGTCCAGCAGCGTGGTGTGGAGGCGGGAAGAGGCCACCTGCTGTAGTCCCTCTGCCCCAGACGGGGTCAGGCAGCCGGCCAGGACGCGGAAGCCCCTCTGGTCCAGCCTCAGGGCCAGCAGGCGCCCGAAGCCTGAGTCGCAGCCGGTGATGAAGACGAAGGCGCTGCTGGCGGGAAGTCTCCGCCGGTCTCTGAGCAGCCACAGCACGGCCCAGAGCAAGGCACCCAGCAGCAGAGGCGGCCACATGGCTGCGCCCAGGCGACCTGCAGGGGGCAGCCCAGGCTGGGCAGGAAAGCTCCTGTTTACTCCGGCCCTTCAGACCAAGCTACTAGTCCTCCAGCCAAAGAGCCTGGTGTGAGCAGATCGAGAAATTACCTGCTTGGCAGATTACTGGCAAACTGTAGCTAACTGTGCAAAACAAAGGCCCAGGGACACCCCTGTATTTGTGGCTACTGCAGCCAAACCAGTGAGCTGGGTCCTGTGTGCGAACGTGCTGTCTCGGAGGGGAAAGGTCTTCTGGTTTGCCGTCACACTTTCTTTTTTTCTTTTCTTTTCTTTTTTTTTTGAGAGAAGGTCTCACTATGCAGCTCAGGCTGGCCTTGAGCTCACTTTGTAGCCCAGGCTGGTCTTGAACTCCCAATGATCCTCCTGCCTCAGCCTCCCAAGTGCTGGGATCACAGGCGTGCGCTACCACGCCCGGCTCACACTTTCTTTTACTAAGCTAGGGACACCAGAATCCTCTGAGTGTGACTGCAGCCTTAGTTTTGGAGCTACATATAGAACCAGCACCACTGCCTTTCGGTCCCTATGGCCCCAAACTTGCTGTGTGGTGCCGGGTTACCTCCCTGCATCTCTGAACTTGGTTTCTCCTGCAGCAGGTCCGGCTGCCTCTGGGCTGTGGCTCACGGAGAGCACAGTGTGTGACCACACAGGTCCACAGCCCAAAGCCTTCGGTTATCAGCACAAGTCACATCCAGCTACGCTCTCCCCACACCCTCCGCTCCCGGGGTTCCGCTTACCTCCGCTGGGGAAAGCAGGCAGATATTACCACTTAGGAAGCTGCTGCTTTGGCTTTGCTCCCGGTCTTCCCGGGCTCCCACGCTAGCGGTAGCAAAGGCCGAAGCCCGGAGCGGGTGGACTCAGGCGCCAGGAGTGTTAAGTGTATGCAGGGTGGGGTGGGGAGGGCCGCAGAGGAGGAGCCAGGGAGGCTGAAGCCAGGGCTCGGCAGAGGCCAGATCTGCACAGGCCCCTGTTGGGCTGCCTTTCAGTCTGGGCTCCTCACTATCCCCGCCGTCGCCTCCCGGGGGCGGAGCTGTCGAGGATGGCAGCTGCCCTCCTCTGTGGGCGGTCTTGGACCTGTCACTTCTTTCTCTTCTTAGCCCTGAAATGCCCCCAAGGATTAATCTCCCGCCCAGCCCAGACACATGACACCGCTTAGTGCCAGCCCGGGAGAGGCCGCGAGCACGCGGCGGGGCGGCCAGCCAGCGCGGGGACCAAGCCTGCCGCTTGCCTCTTTCTCCTCTGCAGGACACTGACGCCCAGAACTGGGAAATTGGGCATGGGGGCCACGAGGACCTTCTCTGGGGACATGCGGGTAGCTTCACCCTCTGCCTACCCAACAGGCGCCTGCACCAGGTCTGAGGAGGCGAGGAAGCTGGGACAGTAAAAGTTGGGGGAAACGCTTCTGGAACCCCCACTCCCACCCACACATGGAAGCCGGCAGCTCCCTGAAACACGCCACACAGAAACGGACGCTCTTTTATTCACGACCCATCAGTCTCCCTCCTGCCCCTGCCGCGAGGGGAGGGGCGGGCGCAGGGGCTAGGAGGGGGCGGACTGCAGCTGCCCCTTGTAGACGTACTCCAGGGCCGTGGCGATGGTGCGCATGTCCAGCTCGATGCTGCGGGCCCAGTTCTCCACATCTCCGATTTCCTGGGAGGGGTGAGAGGGGTTGGAGCCCAGGAATCAGGATGGATGGATGGAGAGTGACTCCCAGTCTGGGGAACACTTTTCTTCTATCTCCCGGAAAGGGCCTTTCTTGGATCCACAAATTTTAACGTTATTTATCTTTTTGAGATGGGGGTGTTTTTTTTTTTTTTTTTTGCGGGTCTTGATAGGTTGTCCAGTCTGGCCTCAAACTCCTAAGCTCAAGCGACCCTACTGCCTCGGTTTCCTGAGTAGCTGTGATCACAGGTGTGTGCCACCTCAAGTTGGACAAGATCCAAGCACTTTCTTTTTTGTCTTTTTGAGACAGGGTCTCGCTATGCAGTTCAGGCTGGCCTTGAGCTCACTTTGCAGCTCAGGCTGGCCTCGAACTCGCGACAGTCCTCCTGCCTCAGCCTCCCGAGTGCTAGGATTATAGGTGTGCGCCACCACGCCCGGCCACACATTTTTGTTGTTGTGGTTGTAGCGGTGCTGGGGACGAAACCCAGGGCTCTGCACAAGCAAGCGTGTGCCCCACCACGGAGCTAAGCCCCACACACAGCTTGTCTTTTTTTCTTTGGCTTCTGACACTGGGGCCTGAGATGGGGTACTTGGGACCATTCCCCCTTCCTTCTTATCCAAAGCCTGAGGGAGCCAACGGGAGCTCAGATGAGAGCAGGGCTGTGGGAGGTGGCCCACCTTGAGCGCCTGGTTGAAGCTCTCCACCATCCCGATCCACTGGCCTGTCTGCTTGGCAAACTGGGCAGCTTGGACCTGCAGGGTCTTCACTTCATGGTCCAGCTTTCTTTGGTTCATGTAGGCCTGGGCCACGCTAGGATTGGAGGAGGGAGGAGGTCAGCTCAGGCCATGGGTGGGGGGGCTTGGTCTCCAGGACTAAATTCCCTCGCAGTACAGGGAAGCCAGCCAGGAGTCAGGGCTGGTAAAACTGATTCTGGCCCTTCTAGGAGGTGATGCAAATTACCAGTATACATGCAAATGAAGCCAGCTCCTTCCTCCACTCCCATGATTCCCAGGAGAGCCAAGTGGAGAGCTGGCTGGAAACATCCCCTCCCTTATCCCCCAAAGGAGTTCTCGAAGCTGGGCGGGAGGGGAGTTTAACCTGGGACATCCCAGAGGAGGAAACTGGGAGGGAAAAGGAGGTGTGGTGGAGCTGGGAAAATCCTGCCGCGAGGACACATCTGGCAGTGATTGCAAAGTCAGGGATCCGTGCAGGGAGGGGAAGGGAAGTTAGGCCCTCCTTGAATCTGGGGTGGGATGGGTGGGGCAAACCCCTTCCCCAGAAACCCTGGGTCAGGAGAGGCTGTCCCAGGGGTTGCCTCCTGGCTCTGTCCCAGTGCTTGTCCTTTGGCCTGCCCACACGGATGAGCAACACACAACCTCCCTCCCTCTGCCCCTCTCCTCAATCAAAGTGCCAGCTGCTCCTACCACTGCGGCCGCATGGGTGGTATCCTCAGTCCCCCACCCGGCTTTCGGGCATCTCCCTCTCCCATAATAATTGTTCTGCCTTATTGGCCCATGAACCACCCCACTCCCCGCCCCAGCCCAAAGCTCTAGGTCAGCTGGGACACTCCACATCCGGTGGCCCCAGCCCCTGGAATGTGCGGGGGCTGAGGGAGGCAAGGGGCTGGGAAGGGGCTGAGAGGACACCTGACCAGGGCCGGGATAGACCGAGCCTTTGTTTTCCTTCCCGGCGAATAAAAAGAGCTGTGGGCAGCCACACAAAACCCTTTCTAATCTGGCATTGCCTTAGCTGCCCTCTGCGCCGAAAGCGGGGTAGCCTCCAGCAAAGGAAGAGAAGAGGGAGAAGCCTGAGCCAGCCCCACAGACAGTGGCACAGCAGAGTCCAGGGGGCACCCGTGCAGGGGGTGGGGTCTCCCAGGTCCCCAACCGCAGCCTTTACTTCCCGCAGTTTTCCTCTGGATGAGTAATGAAGATGACCCTAGTCCCGGCGTGACTCCCTCGGATGACTCAGTCTCTGGTTACCGCCAGGCCGTCCCACTGGCCCGGGTGGAAGGCACCACACTGCCCCTTTCTTCACCAGCCCCCCAAAGCGTCATCTCTGCTCTCTGCTGAGTCACAGAGTCCAGGGACGACCCGCTCTGTTGCTTCCTAAATCTTGGGCTGGGGCCGGGGATGTAGCTCAGAGGCACAGCACCTGCCTGGCACGCACGAGGTCATGAGTTCGATTCCCGGTACATTAAAAAAAAAAAAAAATCTTGGGCTGTTCCTGGCATTCTCATTTACGGCTGGGGCAGGGGGTGGCCTCTGGAGGCCCACAGAGAAGCCAAGAGACAGCCTGGCGCTGCCCTTGCTCCTGGCACAGGTTCTACTCTCACCCATACCAGCTGCGCCCTCTCTTTCCTGCCAGCTGTTCTCCTGGCTTGGCGGGGGGGACAGGAGTGTGGCAAACCGTGAAGGAGGGGGTTCTCCCCTCTGCCCCAGCGACAGCTGGACCGGGAAGGGGACGGGAGGCGGGCAGATGGCATCGGTTCCGTGCCGGGAACCTCGCGGGGCGGGGCGCATCTGGCTGCTGCTCTAACCGCGGCAGCTGCCCCCTCCTCACCTAGGCTGAGCGGTTGGGGCTGACTCAAGCCTCTCCCCAGGAGGCTGGCGGGGAGGCGGGGTGGGGCAGGGGGATGAGCGGTCCCAGCCCGAGGTGGGTGGGTGGGGTAACGGGTCGCCAGGGGCTCGTACCCCACATTGAGGTGGTCCACCAGCGCTTCCGTCAGGCAGGTCGCTGCAGCGATGGCTTCTCGCCTCCTCTTTTCTGGGGGAGGGAGGGAAAGCATGCGAGCGAACCCTTGGTGTCTTAGGGGGTGCAGCGAAAGCCTCCCCACCCGTCCACTGTTATCCCGCTCGTTCCCACAACACCCAGCTAAGTCGGGAGTGCCCGCGCCGACGCGTCCCCGCGGAACGCAAAGCACCCTTCCACTTTCGCCAGGAGGAAGCCGGCACCCTGCGGGCCGGAGAGACTCGCTCCGGGGACGCCAGGGCCGAGGCAGCGCCCGGGTCTCCCGACTTCCAGGCACTCTTCCTCCACTGTTTTAGTCAAAGGATGGGCAACCCCGGGACTCCCAGTCTGGGGAGAGGGGAGAAGCACCCCGCGCCCTCTTCCGCGGCCTCAGGGTCCCGGAGCACCGCACAGAGCCGCCCCGCCCTCCTCCAAGGGGGCGGGGCTTCCCGCGCCGGGCCGGCGCCCTGACCAATGGGCGCCGCGTCCCGGGGCTAGGGGCGGGGCAAGGGCGCCGCCCGAGCGCGGGGGTTGGGGGCGTTGCCGAGGGGACCGGAGAGTGAAGGTCCCGAGGCCGCCGCACAGGGTTTCCAAGAGAGCTGCCGCCGAGGCCGCTCCTTCACCCGCGCTGCCCACTCCCACGCGCCCTTCTCCGGCTCTAGGCAGGCACTCGAGGTCCAGGCTCCGCACCGAAGCTAGGCCGCGGAGCGGGGTTGAGGCCGACCCGGCTTTGCGCTCACCCTGCAGCTCCTTGCGTTCGTTCTGCTTGGCCTGGTGCTCCTTGAGCAGGCGGGACAGCATGGTGGCGCGGCTGCGGGACCGGAAGGCACCGGCTCTGGGCGGGTCACGTGACCGCCGCGTCACGTGAGGCCGGGACCGCCCCCTTCTAGAGCGGCGCGGTGGCCGGGTGTGCAGATCTTTGGGAGCAAGGGGCTTGGCGCCGTGGGGGGTGGGCTCTTTTTTATTTTGGGGAGCTCGCTTTTAGTTGAGGGCGGGGATTAGTGTTCTTCAGTGCCCGTATTGCAGAGCCAGCTGTTAGCGTCACTGTGGCTCTGAGACCCTCGCAGGGTTGGTGTTGCCAGGGTGTCCATCATAGTTCTGTTCTGGCGGTGGCTCCCTGAGCTCATTGAAATTCTTTCCTTCTCTGGCCTTACCTCCTGGCAGTGCTGCCTGTTCTCAGTAATTCCCGCTCGCTCCCCCTGGAAGAGAATGCTTTCCCAGCGCTCTCGTCTCACCGCCCCAGCAGGTCTCTCAGCTCCGGGTGATCACTGTAGAAAAGCATTTTAGGCACTCAGGGGGCCTTCTAGGGAGCTTTGCTTGCGACGGCAAGCAGAAACACCGAAACGACACCCAGGACTTGGGGGCAGATTTATTTACGTCATCTACCGGGATCACTCCCCAAACATCAGGCCCTGATCTCTGGTGGTCCAGGGCTTGTATGAGACAAGCAGAAAATACAGAGGCAGAATGGCTTGTCAAAAGGGGACTGGTTTATACGATGTGCATCACAGTGACCAGCTGTTTCTAAGAGACGGGGGCACCCGGATCTGGAACGGGAACTACTACCTGGGTAACTAACAAACTGAACTATAGTGGTTTGGGAGAGGGGCGCCTTTTCTGGTACATGCCAATTTGGTGAGCTGTGACGGGTAAATGTACAACTCCATCTCTGTCCTTTTGTGGTCAGGGAATGCGTACCCAATTAGTCTTAACAGAAGCATTAAGTGCTTCTGCCAAAGTAAAAGATAAATTATACAGTGCCTCCCTGAACTACAGAAGAATGCTTCCAGGAGAAATCCCTGCCAAAAGAGTTATAGACGTCATCAACATATTGCTGTTCCTACGATGTCTGTTGGTGCTTTTTTTTTTTCTTTTAAAGGAGGTCTTGCTTTGTTAACCAGGCCTCAAGCTCATGATTCTCTTGTCTCAGCCTCCCGAGTAACGGAAACTGCAGGCATACCAATGTGCTCAGTTTTTGGTGTGTCTTTTTTTGGGGGGGGCGGTTGAGACATGGACTGCTAAGTAGTTCAGGGTGGCCTTGAATTTGCTGTGTCATTATGTAGCCCAGGCTGGCCTCAAACTTGCAGGATATTCCTGCCTCAGCCTGTGAAGTGTTAGGATTACAGGCATGTGCCACCATGCCCTGTTGAAGGTGCATCTTGCACTAACATGCTGAGTAACTTTGGGCAATTTGCTCACCCATTATGGATTTTACCTTTCTTTTTACTAAAATAGGGAGATTAGGCTCAAAGTAATTCTCAACCCTGGCTAAATTCACATGGGAGAGGTTTTAAAAATGCTTTGGGCCAGGCGGTGTGGCACACACCTGTAATTCCAGCACTCAGGAGGCTGAGGCAGGAGGATCACCAGGAGGTTTTTTTTTTTTTTTTTTTTTTTCATCTTTTTGAGACAGGGTCTCACCACGCAGTTCAGGCTGGCCTTGAGCTGACTTTGTGGCCCAGGCTGGTCTGGAACTTACAACGATCCTCCTGCCTCAGCCTCCAGAGCACTGGGATTTCAGGTGTGTGCCACCACACCCGGCTCACCAAGAGTTTGAAACCAGACTGGGCTACATAGTGAGTTCAAGGCCAGTCTGAACTATATATAATGAGACTCTGTCTACAAACCAACCAACCAACCAACAAAGTTTTGACCCCAGATTGAGATAGATTCCCTGAGGGGTGGAGCGTGGACACCAGCATTTTATAAAAAGCTGTTCAGGTGATTTTAATGTGCATCTGAGGCTGACAGTCACTGGCCTAAACTGTGTGTAAGATTGTTTCCCATCTTGGCATTTCCTCATTTGAGTCTTCAATGGCATAGTGGAGATTTTTATTTTATTTTTGGAATTTTTTATATTCTTTTATTTTTTGTTTTGTTTTTAGAAACAGGGTCTCACTAAAAAAAAAAAAAAAAAAGAAAAGAAAGAAAAGAAACAGGTCTCACTATGCAGTTCAGGCTGGCCTTGATCTCACTATGTAGCCTAGATTGGCCTCAAACTTGTGGCGATCCTCCTGCCTCAGCCTTCTGAGTGCTGGGATCACCGGTGTGCACCACCATGCCCAGCTCATAGTTGAAATTGACTTCTTTACATCTACTGGTAGAGGGAGGAGAGCTGAGTGCTGATTGAGTTGGGATAAATTCTCTTGAATTTTCTGAATAAAACTGAGAATTAGCAGTCAAGTAGTTCATTCATCTATTTGTAAAATAGTGACCTAAATCCTGGGAGAGGTACAGCCATCAAGGATGAGTGAGAGGAACCACATAAAGTGGTTAAGTGGCAGCAGAAAGCAGAACATGAAGTGCCAAGTTTTAAACCTGGGCTGGTGTGTAGCTAGGTGGTAGAGTGCTTGCCTGGTACGTATGCGCAAGGCCCTGGGTTTGACGCCAGGCACTATCCACACACAGAGTCAGACCCAAAAACCTAAATTCAGGTGTGGTGGCACATACGTGTAACGCTAGCACTTGGAAGGCTGAGGCAGGAGAATCGCCTCAAGTTTGAGCTCAACCTGGGCTACACAGTGAGTTCAAGGCCAGCCTGGACTACATAGCGAGACCCTGTCTCAAAACAAACAAAAATAAAAATGCTGGACTGTGTATGTATATGCTAACATACATATTGTGAACATTTTCCTAACATTTTCTGGTTGCTTACAATAGGTCAAGCACTTTATTTTTATTTTACTTTTTGGGTACCAGGAATTGAACTCAGGACCTTGTGCTTGCCAGGCAGGCACTTGTGCTGCTGAGCTATATTTCTGGCTCCAGTCAAGCACTTTAGATGATTTAATTCATTTAGTCTCTAAAACAATAATGTTTTTGTTTTGCTTTTTGAGATAGGGTCTCACTATGTAGTTCACACTGGCTTTGAACTCACTATGTAGCCCAGGCTGGGGCTCAAACTCATGGAGATCCTCCAGCCTCAGCCTCCCAAGTGCTGGTATTACAACCATGCACCACCACACCTGACATACAGAGCAGTTAGGCAATAGAGCCCCTAAGTCGTAGAGCTAAGATACAAATTTGAGCTGAGTCCAGAGCCTGAGTAGAACCCCTCTGTACTGCAGAAGCCACGGAGAGACCCCAGGAGGGGAGGCCAGGGAGCATGTTCCACGGCAGCTCCGTCTCCTCCCTGTGCCCTGCTCGCTGGGCGGGCATGAGCAGGAGGGAATCCTGGCCTGGGGAGCTTATGGGAAGAGGCCGTGCTCCAGAGAAAGGGTGATCAATAGTAGCGGGAAGAGGGAGAGCGTCACCAGGCAGCTTGGCCCAGACCTCCCCTCCCTGCTTCCAGCCACAGTGAGCAAGCAAAACAGGCGCTTGGAAGAGCCTGGCCCTCACTCCCAGACCTGCGTGGGGCAGGTGTTGGCTGGGTGCTGTCGGATGGCGCCCTGGGCAAGTGAAATGGAGAGGGGGTGCTGCTGGCGGCTTCAGGGCTGAGTGTGCAGTGGAATGGGCCCCCGGAGGACAGTGTCAGGCCCACGCTGTGCTGCCCTCACCCCCTTGGCACACCCGCCTGACATTTTCACAATCGGCACAGAGTCTGCCCGGAATCTGCAGACATCAGCCCTGCCCTCCTCTCCCACACCCTGGCCGATCCTTTTCCCTGGGGCTGGGCAGTGGTTTATATCTGGGGATTCTAGCTGGTCTCTCCAGGGACATCTTCCATCTAGTCTTGTCCTGGGCCCTCATTGTTCACTGTCTAGCCTCAATTTCTGGGGCTTTTGAAGCCAGCTCCGCTTGCCTCTGATAGAGATGAGCACACGTTTCACGCAAATCCAGAGACTCTTGAACCCTGAGATTTCTTTTCTGCCCACCTCTCCCTACACAGGCCGCCCAGGCCAGGCGTGGTGGCGCACGCCTGTCATCCCAGCACTCGGGAGGCTGAAGCAGGAGGATCGTTGCAAGTTCAAGACCAGTCTGGGCTACAAAGTGAGCTCAAGGCCAGCCTGCACTGATAGAGCTTATCTCAGAAAGACAAAAAAGAAAAAAAGAAAAAATAAAAAAAAGGAAATAAAAGGCCACCCAGATTATTTTCCTTTAGAAAGCATGAAGGCATCGCTGGCTTCTTTCATCCACTCATTTCCCTGCTGAGGTCTCTCTCAGAGTGAGCTTCAATTAGCAAACTCTAAACCGGCGGCTGGGCCAAGCAGCGGGCTGGGAGCTGCTGAGTTGTTAGCGGGTGGGCGAGGGCTGTGGGAGCCGTGAAGGGAGTGGAGAAGGCTTCACACACTGGGAAGTCTGGCCAGGCTTCAAGGGAGGGGGCCGTTTGTGGCGTGGCCAAGTTCCAAACGCTGGCCTGAAGCCAGGACTCAGAGAAAAGGGGCCCTGAAGACTGGCTAAAAGGCGCCCTGTGGGAAATGACCTCCCGATCCTCTCCTCGACATTCAAGGGTTTCTCTTGGATCCTCAAAGCCCAGAGTGGTCAGGCCATTTCCCCATGGACGCCCTTCGGTGGCATTTATCTTCCTCTCCCAGCCACTCCCACAGTTCAGGCTCTGCCTACAGCCAGAATTCAGAGGTGGGCGGGAGGGGTCCCGTGCCGGAGAGGTGGGTGGGGTGAGAAAGTCTTCATGCTGTGTGTGCGGGGCTGTGAGAGCCTGAGCCTGGGGCGTGCACGCTTGGAGCCCCCTCTGCCAGAGGAGGTGGAGAGAAGCGAACCCTCGCGTGGGTGTTGTGGAAGCGGCTGCTTGTGTGAGCTGCAGGACGTAGCTGGACACGGGGCGATCTGGGGGAGCTGAAGTTAGGGATTCCAGAGGGAGGGGAAGGAAGTGTGAGCGGGAGAAAGGGCTGCAGAGAGCCTCGGTTTCCACTAAGACAGGGGCCAAAGTCTTTTCTGGGTCTGGATGTTTCACA